GCCCAGGCAGCGGCTTGCGCGCAGCCGCTGTGAGACGGAGAACCCGGCACACCGTCTAGAGTCTCTCGTGCACCTTTGCAGAGGGCTGTCCTCGTCACTTGCCCTGGCCAGAAGGCCGGTGTAGCCTCCCCACGGCGCGCTTCGAAGCAGCTCCCTCGCGGCAGAATTGCGGGGCGTGAGAACGACCACGGCCACTGCTCCTCTTGTGTTGCCGCCTTCCAGCCCGCAGAAACAAAGCAGTGGTTGTGGTCATTTCCGCTGAGCTTGGTTGGCGCCAGGGAAATGACCACGACCACTGCTTCTCTTTCGGCCGGCTGGAAGGCGGCGCAAACAAGAAGCAGTGGCTGCAGTCATGTTCCCGTCCCGCATAGAAGCACTGGCCCTCGGGCGAGCATCAGCACGCCCCAACATACTGATACTATTTGTGCGTCGCCCCAGGGGCGACGCGCGCACCGAGAGATATTCAGTACATGCGTCGTGGCGGGCGCCTTCTGGCCACACCGCTCGGGAAAGTATACACTACAAGATGGGTATACTATGTTTTCGGGTCGGACGCGCGCCTCCAAGGACGACATATATATAGGGCAACGAAGAATGGCACAAACATAAAAAACTCTGAGGTCCGCGCGGATCGCTCGGATCGGCGCTGGACCCCCCTCCCTGGCGCGCGCAGCGCGCCAGGGGCGGCACCGGAGGCGCCGCCAGGGGCGTCCAGCGCGGATCCGAGAAAGCCGAGCGGGCCTCCGAGTTTTTATGTTTATGTCCTTCTTCACTCTCCCAATATAATACTACGGTGGGGGCGTCGGTTAAGGAATAGTCCCAGGAGGCGCCAGACCCTGGAGGATTCCTTTCCTTTCCCGACGAGGGCGGCGGTGATATCTGTGGCCGATCCACGATTGGAGTTCCACTGGCTTCCAGACCCTGGCTTCCTTATCCAAGGGCTCCTTACCCACTGCTCACACCGTATGGTGTGTCTCCGTGCGCCCCGGAGCTGTCCATCTACAGGAGGAATATTCCCAAATAGTCAAAATTTTGATTGCTTTGACTCTTTTTGACCATTTTGGGGTATGTGTTGATTATTTGGGGATATTTTTGGCCGTCTTGGGTATTGTCTGACCATCTTGGGGTATGTCTTGGCAATTCTTTTTATTTTTCGTCCAAAGTCCCCCTGTAGGGGGACAGGCCCGACCTAAGAGTACCCGGGGCCCGGGGCCTCCGCGCCGACGCCGGACGGGGGGGGGGCCACGAGCGCAGATCCAAGAAGTCCACGCGGACCTCCGAGAGTTGGCTCGACCACAAGAGACCCAACCCTAAGACCCCAGGACGGCCACTGATTTCTGGTGTGGGGAGGTCACGCTCTCCATAGGAAAACCATCGAAACGCGTGTATATTGAAATCGGCCATGTCCTCCTACATGTGGATACTGGAAGAAGCATCTAGAAGCAGTTTAAAGCATCAAACATAGACAAAAGAGAGCACGAATAATCGTCACCATTTTATGTTCCTACTATTCTTAGGTGTTCCTCCTGTAGAATGACATGACCGACTTAAGCTTCGTCCACACAAGCGGGGCCCGCACCGAATCAAGACGAGATGGATGCTGTTTGTTTCAATGCACCTGTCAGCCCACAGACTTCCGGCCAAAAAGACACTGGGGGTTAGCGCTGGTCACCGCTCATGGGTTGAGCCAAGACGCTACGAGCAGGATGGGTATTACCACGACGACGACGGCGACGACGACGACGACAGCGACGACGACGCCGCCGCCGCCGCCGCCGCCGCCGCGGCCGCCGCCGCCGCCGCGCAGGACGTGGCCTTGGGCAGCGGGCCGCCCGGGCTGGACGCCGCGCCGCCGCCCGCGGCGGCGCCGGCGGCCGCGGCGGGGCCCGGGGCCCGGGCGGCCCGCGGGGGCCGGGCGGGCGGGGCCCGCGGAGGCTCTCCCTCGGAGGCCCTCTGAGAGGAGGAGCCGCGGCCGCGGCTCGCCCGGGGGCCCGACGGGCCGGCGGGTCGCCCGGGGGGTGGAGCGCGAGGGCTCGGGGGCTCGGGGGCTCGAAGGCTCGAGGGGTCGAGGCTCGAGGCTCGAGGAGGCTCTCGAGGAGGAAGGCGCGATGGCTCGGGGGCCCGGGGGCTCGGGGGCTCGAGGGCTCGAGGGCTCGAGGCTCGAGGCTCGAGGCTGGGGGCCGGAGGCTGGAGGGCTCGAGGAGGGAGGCGCGAGGCTCGAGGGTGGAAGCTCGAGGATCGAGGGTGGACGTCTCCTGGCACTCGTTGGCCCACCTCGGGCCGCCCCAGACGTCCGGGGGCCTCCAAATGCAGGGGACCTCCGCGTGGCCTCTCGGGGGCTTCTGGAGACCTCCCGAGGTCGTCGCCGCCGCCGTCGTCGCCGTCGTCGTCGTCGTCGTCGTCGTCGTCGTCGTCGTCGTCGTCGTCGTCGTCGTCGTCATTGGCTGCATCCTCCTCCTCCTTCTCCTTCTCCTCCTCCTCCTGAGGAGGTTTTCGCCTTCGAGGCTTTTATTGAGGAGAAGGACGAGCAGGAGCAGGAGGATGAAGGACCAGACTACGTAGGCCCAGGATGCACCAACGATGCTTCAGTACACCCTCCCGTCCCAAGTTTCATCCTCATCTCATAAATCATTGCAAGTACTCTTAAGTCGGGCGTGTCCCCCTACAGGCCGATTCTCATCCTCCTCCCTCCTCCCAGACGGTGTTTGCAACCTTGCTGCCCGCTCGGCCTGCGGCCTGTGCACACATGTTTGCTTCTTCTCGTCGGCGTGCTTCCTCGTGGTGGGGTCGGAGTCCCCTTTGCATCGGCTGGGAAGCTGACGGTTCTCAACAGCGAGAGCCCCGCTCTTGAAAAGCAGCCGCCCGCCACTTGTGTGCAACTCTTGCGCAATTTTGCGTTGCTGGTCGTGGGGAATTTGGGGAGCCTCGAGCGAGAGTCCTGCTTTGAAGAGATACCGCGCTGCCCGTCCGGGCGAGCGCCCCAGTTTGAGACGGGAGCCGCCATCCATCCTCAGGTTGGGAGATTCTCAGACGAGCGTGCGCGGCTCCACGGCGAGATCCACATTCGGGAAAAAAGGCCGCTGTAGCAAGACATAGTGTATAAACGGTTGCGTGCGATTCTGTGCGTTCCGAAGCCGTGTTGGTTCAAAATCATCCAGTCATGGTAGCGGAGCCTGGCTCCCAAAACAGATCCGCTACCGATCCATATCCAGAGATTCCTGCGCGCACGGCGCGCCTCGATAGCAACTACGAGGGTTTCGTGGAAGACGAGCTCGTGGTGGAGGATTGGCACGTGGTGGACCGTGCTGTGGTGCAGTGGCGGGTGCTGGTCAACAGCTGCCGCAGGATCAGGAGGTTGCAGCGAATCTGGGGTCATCTCGGACAGTGGCTGCAGGAGGTGCGCGAGAAGCAACTTCGAGATAGGCTGCGCGACCGCCTGTGAGGATGGCGGAGGAGCAGCTCAGGAACTTGGCAGAGCAAGTTCAAGGGATGACGATGGAGTTGACAAGGCAGCGGGACGCAGTGGCGGCGCTGCAGGCACAACGACTGCAGGAGCTAGAGACGATCAGCCGGCTGCAGGGCACGATCATCGCGGACCGCGAGGCGAGAAAGACCAAGGTGCAGCTGGTGGACATCAAGGGCATTGGCAAGCCGGTGCCTTGCAAGTCGGACATGAAGGAGTGGTCAACATGGAGTTTCAAGCTGGGCAACTTCCTGGAGGGAGTGGCGACCGGCATCAAGGAGCCAATGGAGTACTGCCAGGACCAAGAGGAGGCGCTGGTGGAAGCCGATCGGGACGAGATCGAGAAGCTGCTCGACGACGGCGAGGACGCCAAGGGCGTCGGCAGACAGCTGTACGCGGTGTTGGCTCAGCTCTGCGAGGGCGAAGCCTTGGACCTGGTGCAGGCGACGAAGGACAACCACGGGTTCGAGGCATGGCGAGTGATTTCGCGGCGTTCCGACCCTCAAGGAGCTGGACGAAAGAGGAACATCCTGGGGGCGCTGATCAACCCGGGAGGGGTCGACACGCAGGGGCTGAACAGCCACATGGCCAGGCGGGGGG